CTGGATGGGGAGCAATGGGTTGAAATTGAACCCTGGCAACAATGAGTGGCTTTGGGTTTGGGGTTCTTTGGCCCATGGAGAACTGCTATCTTTGATCTTGGATGGGGTGGCACTGCCCCAAACAGACCCTGTGTGTAATCTGTGGGTTCTCCTAGACTCGCGACTCCAGCTCAAAGAGAAGTTGTGGCCAGGAGGACCTTTGCACAATTGTGGGTTGTGCAACAATTATGCCCTTTCTGGATCAATAACCCCTTCTCATGGTCACTCATGCCCTAGTCACCTCCCATCTTGACTATTGCAATGTGCTCTCCTGGGTGGGGCTACTCCTGAAGAGTATCCAGAAGCTTCACTTGGTGCAAAATGCAGCGGCCTGCATGGTTTTGTGTAGATTTTGATGTGCACATTTCACCTCTTCTGCGGGAACTGCATTGGTTGCCAATTTGTTGCTGAGTGCAATTCAAGGTGCTTGTTGTCACCTTTAAAGCCCTTCATGGCTTGGGACGAGGTCATCTGAGGGACCGTCTCTTGCCGGTCACATCTACCCAAGCCACTAGAGAGAAAGGCAAGGAATGTTGTGGGTTCCATCCCTTCGAGGGGTTGGGACTCAGAAGAAGGGCCTTCTCCATGGTGGCTCCTTCTCTCTGGAATATCATTCCCCCCAATATTAGACTGGCCTCCACTCTAACACTCTTTTGGAAGGTGCTGAAGACCTGGTTCTGTCAGCGGACCTGGAAACCCAGAGCGGATGGAGCCCATTAAATGGTTTGTATGAATGTGTGTTGTCATCAGGGTGGGGGTGGGTGGGAGTTTATTATTTTACTATTTGATTATTATTCTTTTTATTTCTTTTATATGTTTTTTTTATCTGTGTAAGCCATCTTGAATTGCCATGTGCAAGTAGGCAGCAATATAAATTTTCTAAAATAAAATAAAATAATTAATAATGGCTAATTATTAATTAAAGGCCCAGATTGTTGAGGGCAACATGCTGACTCTGTAAACCGCTTAGAGAGGGCTGTAATGCACAATGAAGCGGTATATAAGTCTACGTGCTATTGCTATGGCTAATTGGGATTGCTAGATATTCTCACTGAAATCAACAGAGATCTCAAAACATCTTGCACAGAAAAAAGCTAGAAGAAATAATTACATACAATCCATCAGTTCTACCCACTCCTAGCTTCCACAGAAGACTTTTTTTATTTATTTAATAAATTTAATAAATTAATATATAATAAATAAATAATAGCTTCTATCTCACCTAAGGCAACTCTGGGTGGTGCACAACAATAGATAAAAAAATGAAGATATAAAACCAGCAAATATAAAAAGCCAGCATAATAAATATCATAAAAGCAAAAATAGAAACCACAGTTGAAGGAAGAAAATCAAAATTTATTAAAAATTTACGGCTTGAACTGGACTTGTTTCTGCTAACGTTCGTTGCTTTCCCAATGGTTGCCTGAAACTCAGTATCTATACATGCTATTTGTAACATCAATGCCATTCAGATGTACCCGATTTTACGAGCACCCCAACAAAACTATAATTCCTTTTCTGGGAGCTGCGGAAATCTACAGATAGGTCTTCTCTGGCTATTTACCATGGGAAGTAAAGTTAGCTGTTATTTTGCTAGAAGAATAATGTTAGCTTTTATTTTGCTATAAGAACATCAGAAATGGAAAATATGTCTGTATGGCAGTGTCTTTCAAACCTGGCAACTTCAAGATGCGTGTACTACCAGAATTCTCCAGCCAGCCTGCTAGAGAAGCTTTGTCATCCCATCCCCAAACTGTAGTGAAGTGTGAACAAAAAATGCTCTCCCAAAGTTTAATAGCAGATATCAAAATAGTCCAATAAAGCACCATCAGGCCATGCCTTGGATCATCACATACTATTTCTACAATATTCAGACATTAGTTAATGATGACAATCACTCAGTCAAACAAACCGCAGATCAAATCAACTGGAAATCCAGATACTTAGGAAAATATTAGGAATCAGGTGCTCATTAGCTTGCATGAACTGTACAAATGTTTGTGTCTTATTTAGCGTCCATAGCATCCAGTTGCAAGAAACAGTCCCCCGATTCTACTCCATAAACCAGATCATATAATACTAGCATTTAAACAGATGTAGACTGAAAGCTCGTGAATAAATTGAAAACTTTATACAGGCAGTCCTCAATTTACAGCTGCTTGCTTAGCAATTGTTCAAAGTTACAACCTACCTGAAAAGGGGACTTACCACCCAGATCAGAAATTCTGAGGTTTGGGCGTTTAGCAACATGGCGAGATTACAGTCATTTGCAGTATCCTATGGTCATGTGATCGCACTGGTTTTGCTGAAAACTGGTACTTCAGTGTCTTGGCAGAACTATAGCAAACTATGGATTCACATAATGACTATGGCATTCGCCATAAAAAAACTTCTTAAAATTAGGTTCATTACCATCTTGTTTTATGTCCATTACAACTTATGACCATAATGGGCAGGCTCCATTATTGCTGTAACTCAAGCACTATTTGTAGCTAAGAACTGGGTTTATTTCATTGGGTTCAATACATATAGAGCCCTTGTAGCTGTTCGCACATTACCATTATCCTGCAAGAGACTGAAGAACCAGATTGCAAATAATCATACATTAAAATACACGTGTTTAAAAGTTTAAAAATTCAGCTTAAAAATGCACAAAATGAACTGATTAGGATTTGGTTTCATCCCTCCCCACTAAAAAAATAGTTAATTTCAGAACATTTAAACTCTACATGCACTCAAGATGAGCTTTTAAGATGCACTATATCTCATGTTGGGTTGCAGTCTCATGGTCAAGAGACAATTTCCTGCTCTGTTCCTGTAAGTCTCTTCACACATACTAGAACGGGTGTATGTCTTTTACTTCTGTGAAGTACCATGTTTTATACTTGTATCTTTCAGGGAATAATAAACATGTTATTAACTAATAACATGCAAGCAATTCTTCCTTAGGTTTTTTTTAACCATTATTAACCAATAAAAAATAACAATTGCAGGGATTTTAGCTAAATTAAGCTCCAAGCTTTTTACAGTTCCTTTTATGTTTTATTTGTTGCATTTGTGCAATATAGGAATTTCTAGTAAATGTTCTTGTGCCCTTTTAAGCACCTAAGCTATATAACTTTTCCAGTTCCAAAAACAATGGCTATTGAATGATTAAACGTGCAGCACTTTTTCCATTCAATTATACTATCCCTTATATCACTTGCATGTGTGGGTGAGGAAATATGTGAATTCTTGTTGACTCATGTTTATTTTATGTTGTCATAGCACATAGATTTACCTTTTTGTATACTTAATGTGCTTAAGTTTTCTCCAGAATCCCTGAGCGTCTATCAACATGTCTCAGCAATGATAGCTTCCTAATTATTTTCCGAGTGTGTTTTGGGGTTTTGACTTATTCTGTCAGTATATATTTTGGACAGATTTGCAGACTGATTATTTTAGTGTAGCTATTTATCAAACATTTTCTTACCAATCTGTAGCACTCTTAAATATCACTCAAACATAATATTTGGTAATCATCTTGCTATAATAACTGTATCATACATTTCAAATGTTTATGCTAGACAATTTGCTATCTTAATGGGTAAACTTTTATAGACAATCAGCTGCCCTTCAGATTTTGGGATTGCAACTCGCAGAATCTCTGAACATTGATAGTGTTTCCTGGAACATATAATTATTCTTTTAAAAAGCCTACTGGCTTTTTTATTTTAAATTAATGTATAACTATAACTTTTTCTATGTTTTTGATTAAATCTTTAATATTATCTACAGTAGAATTCTTACTACCTATGAACGGATATTGAAATAATTTTCTTTGGAAAATATTAAAGTTGTGCTTTTAAACTTTTAGAAAGCCTTTTAGCTATCCTGATTGTGATGTAAAAAAGGATGGAGAATGAATTACCATGTGCAAATTATTTTTTTCTAGGATACTTAAGAATGAATGTTATCTTTTCTAAACATGCCTTCTGGATTGAGTTTTCCTTCCTCTCTACCATATCTCCAGCATGAGTAAACCTCACAAGCATACATATGCACCTAACAAATGATTTCTGCATAGCTATTATACATATTTCTGCACCAGATTCCCTGCTCCTGTCCCATGCTTCTTTCAAAGTACCCAGGACCTGTACAGTATGTCCTGACTCCTGACTGAACAGAGCTGTTAATAATTATTCAACAGTCTCTAGAAGAAGGTCTGGATACAATCAGAATGAAGAAGGGCTCAGCTATGAAAATTAACTAGGAAGCAATTTCAAAGAGGCAGTTTGGTAATATAGTGGGCTCATCCTTAGATCTTGCCACATACTTTGACAAAGAACACCGTAGCTGCCACTTTTAAAATGAGTTTAGTTTTCATTTATCTAGAAGCCTTTAGAAAAATGGAAGGTACTGTCAATATCCGAAGAGAAGCAATTGCTTGGCTAAAAAGCATAACAAAATCCAGGAAAGGGAACCTGGATAAGCCGCTAATGAAACAAGTACACATCTTTGTCGTTTGAGTCTCAACATACTAGTGTTGAAGTTGTTATTTAATTTTGCCATACTCCGCAGGTTTCCAACCTAACCCCGATGCTCTCTCTCTGCTAGAGATGTTAGATCGTAACTACCATCCCTCCCAACTAGGCGGCCTGCGCTGTCTATTGGTGATCGGCCAGTACTCGTCTGGTTATGTCAGCGAAGGCCGCCGTCGACCATTTAAAAGTTCCAGAGTGGGTAGAAACTTGTCAAGAAAAGCTTTCTTTCCCGATCTCATCCTTATTGGACTTATAGAGACAGAGAAAGTAGGCGGCTCAATTCCCCCAAAGCGCTCAAAAATCCCCTTCTAAACCAACGGGGCTCCTGGACATCCCTGCCCGGCACTTGCCGGCGCCCAACGGTTCCCTGCCGCCTTGTCTTGCGGGGGGCTGACAGAGAAAGGGGGGCGACGTCGGCCAAGGGTCGCGTGCCTTTACCTGAGAAGTCAGCCAGCGCGGCGCTCTCTTTGGTCCAAAGCAGGAGCAGGCAGAAGAGGCGAGGGAACAGCAGCCCCCGGGGCGCTACCTGGCGCCTGCTCGCGCGCTGCCCAGCCCCCAGGTCTCTCATGGTGCGGCGCCGATCCAGGCAGCCCAATCGCGTCACATGACGGCTCCAGCCAAGAGAGTCCCTGTCCTTCCCAGGACCGGAGCGGCTGAGGGAGGCCAACTTCGCGAGGGAGAGGGAGGCGAAGGAAAGGGGCGGGGACCGGCAGGCAACAGCAACGCGGCGCGGAGCCTTCGCCCGGCTTCCACGCACTTTCCCCGAAGAGGAAATCCCGGTCAGATGCATCCCGCGGCGCGGTTGGAAGAGCGAAGGGCGCGGCGCGGCTGTTTGCGCGTTGGCGGAGAACAGCGGGGAAACCAGGAAACCCATCCCAAAGCCGGCAGGACGGCGTGCGCTTAGTGCGGAGGAGCCGGCGTAGTTTTGATCGGCCGGCTAGTTACTACTCAGTGTTGCTTGCCGCGCAGTGACTCTCCGCTTTTGCGCCCCATTGGGTTCCCTTGACCCTTTCCTGGCCAGTCTCCTTCCAGGTGGCTTTTCTTGTCACCTTGACCTCTCTGTGGGTCGTCGGCGACAATTTCTTCTTTTTCTTCTTCTTCTTCTTCTTCCTCTTCCTCTTCCTCCTCTCTTACTTCTTACTTATTATAGCCGCTCCCTTTGAAAAGACGCGATGCTGCTCTAGGGTGGAATGAGTTCCAGGCTGGTTTTTGGCCGTGCCCCAGCCCTTTGATGCGCTGCCTGGTTATTGCTGGTGCTGGCGTGTAAGTGATGGGGTGGGGGTTAGGGCTGCGGTCCTGTAAGGCATCAACGAGGCTAAGGAGTCGGAATAAACGTGGATAGGATTACCCTCAAAGTGAAGGTAGAAAATAAAGACGAAGGAAACAAACGGTCTCTCCTCTCCCAACCTTTATTTTCGATCTCGATGAATGGCGTGGAGTCCAAATTCTCTGCACTCTTTAAGTAATGGGGAAGTAAAGCAAAACTTTAACGAGTGCAAATGAACACAATCCTTTTTGAGTTGCCAGCTCTTCCACCTGTTGCCCTCCAAAAATGAGGAATTACATTCCCCACTGACTTCGGTTAGGATACTTATGCTTCATTGGTTGCCAAATACATCTGGAGGAGTCCACTGTTAATATTTAATAATTATTTTAAAATATATTTAATAAATACATTTCTTGGAGAGATTGCAAAGGAATTCATCATTCAGTAGTGAAACAACTAGGCTAGAAATCACCTTGGCAAGAATGCTGGCTGGGTGATTTTGGGCCAGTCACTCTCCCTCAGCCCAACTCACCTCACAGGGTTGTTGTGGAGAAAATAGAAGAAAGAAGTAGTATTAGGTATGTTCACCACTTTGAGATTTATAAAAATAACAATGGCAGGATATAAGTAAAGACAATAAAAATAATGTTTCTTCCTGAGAAGTAATATCGATTTCAGCATTCTTCCCTTCACATGTTACGTATCAGAAGTCACATATCAAGGAAAGGCTGAATCTTAATGTTGTTTGCTTTTGGCTTTGCATTTAAATTTTTTATTATCAAAATAATATATGCACATCACTATGGCAATATGACAGAATCTCAAAATTAGCAATGAAGTTGAATTAAATAGCCTAATTCAAATAGTGACAAAGAACACATCGCAATAATCTATTCTTGCATATTGGGGTAGATTTCTCCTTTTGATGCTTTGTCATAATTTCTGTTAGGTCAGATGATAGTTTCACAGTTTTTGCTAGATTTCTGATATTGGAGAACTCATTCATCTTTAACATATGGCAATCTACCCAGAATCAAATTAATCCTCTTGATTTCAACACCTTATATAGCAGTATTAAAGCACACCCACACATTTGAATTAATATTTTATTTGTAGAATTGCATCTTGAATAGCAAAGTAATTCAGACCTCACAGAATATATAATAAAAGCTGACTTCAAACTATAAATCTCTACCTTGAGGTTCATAAATTCATTAAGCAATACTCTGGCAATAGTACTTAGATTAAAGCTTCACGGCCCTCTCTAAGCGCTTTACAGAGTCAGCATATTGCCCCCAACAATCTGGGTCCTCATTTTACCCACCTTGGAAGGATGGAAGGCTGAGTCAACCTTGAGCCTGGTGAGATTCCAACTGCCAAATTGCAGGCAGCCGGCAGTCAGCAGAAGTGGCCTGCAGTACTGTACTCTAACCACTGTGCCACTGTGGCTCATTAAGATTGTCATTGTGTGAACCCAGCCAAATTGTGTGGGTTAATTTTTTAGTTGTTTACCATGTTGTACAAACTCAGTCTGTTTGATTACTTTATTGTTTACTGCACTGTGTGAATCTAAAAAAATATTCAAATTAAATTAACTTTGTTGTATGAATGCAGTCTTAGACTACCTGCAAATCTGAACCCTGTAAAATCAATTTGTATATGAACGTATAAGATATGGCCATCAGGAGGTAACATGGTTCTATTTCCATGTGATTATTACAGGAAGGAAACCTGTGATCCCAACCTTTTTTTTCTCTTTTTCTATAGCGTTACGTTTCATTTGGTGTACTTGTGATCATTAAGAAACAAATTGCTTGGGCTTAAGTGGCAGTTCAAATACTTTTTACATTTGTGTCATCCAGTCAGTTTTATAACTGTGCCTTTTCACTGATAGTATCTTCTGAAAGCATTCAGATGTTACATTTGTAATATTTATGTAAAGCAACTTTGTTTTCAGTTTTCCCAGCTCAACACCTGATAAAGCCAGATTTAAAGGAAAATTATCATCTATCTCAGTTTCACTCTAAAAGGGACATGATATTGGAGTCTTGTCACTAATCCAGAATGCCTCATTTGTATGCAATCACTCTTTTTCTGAAAGAACAGAAACAAAGGGTTCACTATACTGGCAATGCTCATAGCAGTCCAAAGAGCTGATGATTTTTTTAAATTTCCTGGACCTTTTTTAACTTGGTGCGTCTTTTTTATTTCTAGTGCTTTATTTTGTTGACGCATGGCATTATTATTATTTTTATCAATGATTACAATTGCTTTATTTTTCATATCAAATCATCTTGAGACTTTTTATTTAAAAATAAAAGGAATATTTTTTCTATATAAAAAAGTTTATAACTGGGGATATAAATAATAACAATAGCAATTGCAGCAGTCCCTAATGTAAAACTGCCTATATGCTACCAAATTTCAAAGCATTTCAGCTGTCTCTTTCCCAGATACATGTGTTGGCCTATATCTTCTTAAACACAGAAAAAAGTTGTTCTTACCACATTTTAAGGTCCTTTATTTTCTGAACTTAGACATTAAAGGAAATATCCCAAAAGTATTAACAATGTTGATGCTTTCTCTAGCTCTGTTTCTCTACAAATAAATGTTGGGCTAATTGAAGTAGACAGTGTAAATTAATCATTACATGGTCTTTATTTAAAACCCTAGATTTGCAGAGTTTGTATTTTGATGGAAATGGAAAATAATATGACATTCCAATATTTTTTTATATTGGACTTTAATCAATGAAACACTGTTTTTTTTAATACATGAGCAATCCCTCTGCTTATTCCTTCAGTTTAGTTTCTTCTCTCAGCCACTTTCTTTGAGACAAGAATAAGATAGGTGACATCTTTGACCCTTCCCTGACTTGGTACCTTCTGGGTGGGTTGGATTTCAACTTTCTATCATGTTTGTGAATTAGACTTTTTCATTCATTCATTCATTCATTCATTCATTCATTCTACTGCAACAATTACAACTTTCGGTAATGTACAAAATCAGTAAACTAGAACTCTAAAATCAAATGAATGTATGGCATTCCCAGAGCATTGTCTAAGTCCCCTGGAATAGTTTATTTTAATTTGCTTCTGGAAAATGAACAAAATTGGAACAGGTTGGGAGTCATAACAAAACAACTCTTCCAGCCTCCTCTTCGATTTCTCTATGGTGTGGAATAAGGAGTAATTTTTCACAAAATGGTGCATTGGACAGATTGACTCTAGATCACGGGTGTTAAACTTGATCGTGTCACATGATATGTCAAGACATATCACAATGTTTTTTTGCCTTTGCGGAGCCAAGGTAGGCGTGGCCTGCACGTGACGCATCCAGCCTGCAGGACACCCTACTCTAGATGTAGTAGTTCTGAGATAATAGCACCAAGACATATAGGGCTTTACAAGTTTAAACTATCAGGTTTAATTCCACTAAGTTTGATTACGTAGAAATCTACTGATAGAAAATTTATGGGTCTAGTGCAGCAATATGACACGTTCAAGGCAATTTAGCAGAAGGATTTGGTGGACAAACAGCAACTTTGCCTTACTTGTATTCAACTGCAACAGCTTTCTTTTTCTCTGGGATAAGACTTCAACTTAATTACTGGAATAGCTAGGATGGCAATGTAGATATTATTGACATTAGCATCTTATGAAGCAGGACTATTCTATTTATTATTATTATTATTATTAGTTTAGTTTAGTTTACTTTATTGTCATTGCACTTCGTACAACGAAATCAAACACCATCTTCAGTGCACATCATGACCATGACCATGAAAATAAACACAACCACATATCCTTCACCCTTCACACATTGAACCAACCCCCCACCACCACACCACACCAACACTGCACTATACAGCAGAATTCAAAAGAGTTACCGCCCTGAGATAGAAGCTGTTTTTCAGCCTATTTGTCCTTGTTTTTATTATTCTGTACCGTCTGCCAGGTGGTAATAGTTCAAAAAAGGGTTCCCAGGATAAGATGGATCTTTGAGAATGTTTTGAGTTTTCTTAGGCAGCAGGAGCTATAAAGCTCTTCCAAGGAGGGGAGAGGGCAACCAATGATCTTCTGGGCAATGACATTAACCCTCTGGAGTGCTTTCCTATCTGCCACTGTGCAATTGGCAAACCATACAGAGGTGCAGTATGTTAAAATGCTCTATATGGTGCAGCGGTAAAAGGTCACCAGCAGTTTCTCATTCAGTTGTTGTTTTCTGAGAAGCCTTAGGTAGTATAATCTCTGCTGGGCCCTTTTGACCAGGACTGCAATGTGGGCACCCCAGGTCAGGTCCTCTTTTAGGGTAAAACCCAGAAACTTAAAACTGGCCACTTGTTCCACTCGGTCTCCATTGATAAGCAACAGCTGGATGTCTGGTCTGTTCCTTCTATAATCCACTATACGCTCCTTGGTCTTATTGGTGTTGAGGACCAAATTGTTGTCTCCACACCACGAAAGCAACCGGTCCACCTGATCTCGGTAGGCAGACTCATCCCACCCCCCTGGAGATAAGTCCCACCAATGTTGTATCATCTGCAAATTTAGCAATAGTATTACTAACGTGAGTGGGAATGCAGTCATGCACATAAAGAGTATAGAATAAGGGACTCAACATGTAACCCTGTGGTGTACCAGTGTTAAGAATATGGGCTGAAGAGGTATGACTACCTAATCTGACCCTCTGTGAGCAGCCAGACAGGAAATCCATAATCCAAAGGCAGATTGAATTCAAAAGCCCAAGGTCCAGAAGTTTAGACACTACTCTATGTGGAAGAATTATGTTAAACGCAGAACTAAAATCCACAAAAAACATCCTCATATAGCCCTCCCACTGTTCTAGATGAGTCAGAGCAGTGTGAAGAGTGAGGGCTATAGCTATATTATTTAGCAGGATAATTATATTTATGGTTATGATACAGTATGGAATTATTCTAACCACCTGAAAAATACCAGGTTGAGGGGAGAGTTAATGTTCTAGGTTTAAATAAAAATCAACCCCATAGAAAACCCAAATTTATCAGTGTTCCTCACTTAACAGTATATTGTAACAGTTTTATTCTCTCCAAGTCTGCTTTCTGAAGAGGAGTCGATTCTATTCATTTCAACTCTGATGGTAGGGCTGGGGACTGCAAATAATGTGAGTCAGGATCCTGGAAAAGTTTATTTTCAGTATTCAACATTTACTAATTATGGTTAGATGCCTTGTATACCATTAAAGTAGCACCGTACTATTTAGATCTATCATTGAGCATTTGCCTACCATATCTAAACAACTTCAATCTTTGTTCTCATCTTGCCCTATTCTATGATTTAAAATTCTCAACTTTCCATTTTCTCCCATCAAGTTGACTCTTTCCCACCATAGCTTCAACATATGTAAAACTTGTAATGCTTTGCCACTTGGTATCTTGTGATTGAGACCAAGTGGCCTGTTGCAGGCATGTAGTGGAAAATGGGCATCTTGTGACACTGTTTTCATTGCAGTTGCTTTTTTTCTAGGATTCCCCCCCTCCCAATAGTACTTTCTTTGTCAAGTTCTTTGATACTTCTTTCTATACTTCTTTGATACCTCATTATTTCTAGAGAAAACATCTTTCCAAGATCCAAATAAGGTGGAAGAGATGTCCATTATTATATCTGACCTACTTTTTGCCAGTTCAATACTATCTTTTCAGCTGTCTGGTTCTTAGGGATATTGAGAGAGAGAGAGACAGAGACAGAGACAGAGAGATAGAGACAGAGAGACAGAGACAGAGAGAGACAGAGACACAGAGACACACAGAGACAGAGAGACAGAGAGAGACAAAGACAGAGACACACATACAGAGTAGGTTCTAGACTACAAGTGTGTCACAAGTGCTTTAGACTTTGCATAGAAGTTAAGAAAAGGTTCTTGAGATGAAGGTTAGAGACTGTCCTGTAGGGCTACAAGAACCAGATAACAGGATGGTCATTCAAGTTTGCATTAACAAAGTGTTGAGAATACAAAAATCACAGATGACCTGTATTTGGGGTGGAGGATAGGAGTTAAAGAGGTCTGATGGGAGATTAGCAAAAGATTAAAGTAGTGATGGGTGGAGCGAGATATGACACTAGGACAGCTATTGCAGAAGATTGGATTGGATATTTGGTTCCATTCCCCTCCTTTGACCCCTTAGCTTCTCTTGCCACCCTGAGTCACTGAGGTGAGGTGGTAGCTTTAGAAATTGAAGAAGGAAGGAAGGAAGGAAGGAAATTTTGATAAGAGTGGTTCTCTAGATAGCTTGTAGTAAAAAAAACAACCCCCACTCATAACCATTCAGAATTACTGGAGAGTTTTATCTCATGAAATAACAGAGGTAACCTCTTGAAAATGTATGACAATTTTCTCTATGGTGATGCTGCCAGGCTTGAAAGAGGCAATAATGTGCCCTCTTTTTGACAAGCCATCACTTGACTCAAATACATTAAATAATTGTTATTATGCCAGTGCTTCCTTTTTTATGGAAAACTGTAGAGAAGATGGGGCAACAAGTACAGGGGGGTCTGGATGAAACAAGCTGTCCAATCTGAATTTATGCCTGGACATGGGGTAAAAGCTGCATGAATCAATTTTATAAATGACTTTCAGCATGATCTGAATGACCATGGTATATGTCTCCTGGTCTTATTAGATCTTTCAGCAGCTTTGGATGCTGTCAACTATCATATCTTTTGGAATTCCCTGTAACAGCTGGAAATCACAGGTATTATTTTGCAGAGACTGAAACTGAATTCCTGCAAGATGGAAATACTGCTGGTGCAGAAGATTTCAAGAATCAAAGTATTCTAGCTGTACTTCTTGATTTAATTAAATTTCCCTTAAAAGCTACCCGTGGGTTAACTGGTGTGAACTGGTTAGGGGAGCAACATCTGTGCTATAGGAATTTCCCTGGTGGTGAATAGAGTTATGATGTGTAATTCATGATACTTTTTATTTTCTTTAAAGCTCATTTGGACTCCTTGGCCATTATGACCACATTACTCCAGATGGAATTTGCCGTGTAATACATGCTTAGGTAGAAGGGAGCTCTGGAGTTCCATCCCAGAGATCAAGGGAATGGGAGCCAGGAGGAAAATTTTCTCTTTGTATTCTTCCCATTCTGGAAAAGTTTATCCAGAAAGATCAGAGCTTATCCTGTTAACATTGAGACTGTTCTTCCACAGGATTATTGGGAGAACCTCAATTAGCTAAAGAGCAGTACACCTATTTTCTGAGGTTGTACTTCTTTTAAATTGCTCCATTCCTTATTATGCTTTTATTAAGCTATCGGCCACAGAAAAGAGACCTATAAGCCCAAGAGACAAATTACTGCATAAAAATGAATTAATTAATATGAACTGGTAATAAGAATACAAAACTGCTTTTATCATTTTGTGATAACTCAGGGAAAGTTCCATTAAATAAATTTTTCTACATTTTATGATTTCCATAGAAATCATGTTGCCTTGGGTTATTGAAAGCTTAAATCTGATGAAATATATTTTATAATAAATTGTAGATATCCATTATAATACAAAATGAAAAAAATGAAAATACTATGTTAAACTACTTAAACGAACAAAATATAAAATTGTACACCACACTGAAAAATAATGAAATCCAAACTTATCTCTATATATTCATACATGCACACCTACATACATTTAAAGATAAAGGCATATATGTGTAGATACATAACTATCAACCTAAGAATATATGCCTTCCTCCAATTCTTTTTGTAGTTATGATACAATTTTTATAAACAACAAATTGATTCTAAGCCATACAATATCATATTGCCCTGTGTTGCTTTTCCATAGATACAAACCTAATTCAAAGTTTGAGAGTTGACAAATTTAATTAAGATATCATTTCAAATCAGGAATACGGACCTTCTTCCATGAGTATATACTCAAATTTTGCAATAGTCCAGGCCTGATATAACCAAAGTTCTTCATAGATTGAAAGATTCTAAATTTTGGAGATATAACTTAACAAAATATTGACATATTTAATCCTCAATTACCTTTGAGGGATCTAATTTGTTGTGTATAATGTTAGAAAGATGTGAGTACAAATAATGTAAGACGATCGAAATTGTTAATTTTATTATTCAGTATCAAAATTAATACCCAGAAGCCACACTGTTCATGTATTTAATACTTATATACATTTAAAAATAAAAAACTTAATTAAAAAAGAGAAATCTGTTAACATATTGTTTCATAAAATGTGATTAAAAACCATTAATCTGTGCAGTAAGAATTGACAATTGCACATCACCTGAAACATTATTGATATGTGAATGTCTACTATTATATAGTATATAGTTACTTCAATATAATTGAATAAATATCTGGAACTTAATTAATTTTCAAGCTTTCACATAGCCATTACAATAGATAACTCTGAAGTCTAAATTTGTCTGTACTTGATTATACTTTAGACCAGCGTTTTTTCCAGCTTCCTTGAACTTTTAGCATGATGTGTTGATGTTGGACTAATTCCCAGAATTCCCAACCAGCTATCCTTAACCATTGAAAAATACTATTTTAAATCAAGATATTTGATCCCTTGTAACTAACAGCAAGCATTTATTTTTCTTGCTTCATTGAAAAATCCAACGGAACTAAAAGTAGTTTTTTTTCCTTAGACATACAGGTTTCACTTAATGGGCGCAGAAGTAGAAAAAAAAATTCAGCTTGCGAACATTTAATCTTATACATTGAAACTGCAATATATTACGTCATTTTTTGCTCTTTTGGGCAACGAGATGATCCTGGCTTCCGCCCCTGCCCTACAAAGCTCGGACTGAGCGGCTGCTTTAGTCAAGCTAGGAACCTGTCTCAATTGTAATTTCGCGAATGGGGGGAGCATAAGCGAGCCGGACCATTTCCGGCCGAGGCGGGTAACCCATGCGAAGGCTACCCCGACTTCCCTTCGCTCCGCCGGGTGTCGCGGCGAACCGCGATTGCTTTAGGATATGGGCACCAAACGCAAAAGCTCGGCTTCGGCCGGGGGGCAGGACCCGCCCCCGGCTAAGCGGGTTCGCAGCACCGGTGCCGCGGAATTCACCGGCGCCCGGTTCAAATTCCTCCTCCGCGACTCCAGCACTGCGATGAAAGGTCAGCCAGCCAGCCACGCCGCTCCCACGGTCACCACGTGGATTCAGTCGAGTTGATCTCTCTGCGGCCAAGAGCTGTGCGGTTGCCACAGCTGCATATGGCTAATAGCTGAATATTTTAATGCAGATTAAGTTGTCTGTAATAAATGTGTCACGGACAACAACGTGGTGTCCAGAAGTGAGAGATAAGCTTAAAAATGATTCTGTGTCCTTGGGTCCTGAGCAAAAGGATTGTGAATTCTTCGTATAGACAGCTGTTTTTTCGAGTTACAATTGATAAAATGAATTATAAAAGGGAGCGTGTGTGTGGGGGGGTGATGGGGCGGGAGTGAAAGGCTTCAATAGATACAGTATATATAGTTGTAATAGATTTTCAAGCTGACATCATTGGTATCGGCAACACAAATTGCCAATTTCTTCTCTCTTGCTCCTATTATTACGTTTATTTTGTCAACCTTTGCATTTGAGGGTTCCCCCCACAACTTATTTCCCAAAGGTGGTATTGGTAAAATATTGATAGCAATAAAGAAAGAAATCAAAGTTGACTTTCCAGCTCTGCTATGGAAAAATGAGGCTGTTGATTTCAGGAGCCTGAAATGCAAACTGCTATTTGAATAAGATTGACTTACCTATTGGGCATGCCAATTATATTTCATTGAAGTAAAGAATAACATGTCCATAATGATTTGAAACAAAAATCAAAGTATGTTTTATTACAGGTTTGGAAACCTTCATAGCCAAAGCTAAATTACTACCGTCAAATGAGCAATATGATGTAGTGGAAGAATACATAAAAGTTTCTATTGAATGTGTAGAAATGTTTAAACTTCTGGATGGTGAAAGGCGTCCTGACAGCGAGGTCAGTGTTCCAATTGAAGAGAACTGTCACAGGCTCCTCTTAGATATTGATTTTGGGCTATTAAGAATGAACTCTGAATTCTGCTGTATGTCCTGTGATTATTTCACCCATTTAAAAGTATCTTTGCACTCCTACCCTTGCTAGGGAGTTAACCCTTAGTGAATCTTATTTCTGCAAACCTTTGGTAAAAATCGCACGTAATGTTTTGAAAGTATTTTTCTTTTTTTTAAAAAAAATAATAACTTCATAGCTGTTTCCTACAGCGCTGGGATGCTCATGCAGAGATATTTTAATTCACAGATGGGCAATGCATCCAGGTCTTCTTGGACTGTAATTCCCATTGGCCACATTGGTTAGGCTTGTCCCTATATTGCTCTCCCTGCAATAAAGTGTTGCAAATGGCAGTATGCCTTTGGGCTTAGAGATGGGTACTGGACTGGACCTTGGTACTGACTAAATATAAATCTGTGTTCTAAATGAGATAGCAGAGTTCTGGCAAAGAAATTGGTAAGGATGAGCACTTGTCCCATCAGTGGAAAGCTTTTAATAATTTATTTGTACTATGCTAAACCTGCCAGCAACATTCTTTTTGTAACATAATTATAAAAGATACGACTATCCTTTATGTTCTAGACCAGGGACACAAAACTTTTTTTCTACTGGATCATTGATCTAGCCCAGTGATGGCTAACCTTTTCATTGTTGCGTGCCAAAAAGTGCGCACTTGTGTGCATGCACGTGAGCCTGCACCCATAATGCAATGCACACACGACCCCTCCATGCCTCTGCGCATGCGTGCATGACCCCCGTGGTCCCCTGTGCCCCTGCACATGTGATCTCTGCGGTCCCGCACCCCTGCACATGCATGCATGATCTCCCGCGTCCCCCCTTCCTCCCCTGCACATGCGCGGCAGATAGCTGACAATCAGCTGGCTGGCGGGAGGCGCATGATCAGGAACTGAGCTGGGGTGATGACTTGCGTGCTGGCAGAGATGGCTCAGCATGCCACTTCCAGCAGGCGTGCCATAGGTTCGCCATCAAGTATTTAAAGGATAGTAAACAGCTTGATCTGAAGTTGGAGTGGTGCAAATATAGAACAAGTGGACGTCCTCTCCATTGACGGGATAAACCCATTCCATATTCCTTTCCAGTAGGAGGATTCCCTTTGAAAATGTGGATTAGGTTGGTAGTTCATCAGTCTATCCTCAAGTTCACTTCAAGTTGAGACTTTCCAGTATTCCTAATTAATAAGATATTTGAAGAATTGATAGAATTAAACAAAATAGGCAGATGTGTTTCGTAGGCCATAAGGTTTCCATATGCCTTTTATGCAAAAACACCATAGTAACTAGTACCTAAAGCTGTGGAAATTTTCATTAGGATCATGTTGCAATCCAAAGCCTTGTCTGAGTATAATTAAATTTAGCAGCAGAGGGTTTTTTCAAGAACATTGCAAAGTTTCCTTTCCTGTTGGAATACACATTGTTTAGAATGCTCAGTTCTATTTGTATCTTTAAAAGACAGTATGTTGGGATATTTGAAATTTTGCAGATGCTGCTAATTTTTCAAGCTCTAGAAAATATTTTGCTGCGAACAGCAAGTGATCTGTCCCATTTTCATGTCGTGGGGATGAATATAGTAAAGAAGTTGATTAATAGTTACATGAAATTAATTTATGCTGCCTTGTATTCTGAAACTCATAGGTAAGTTCCTTGTTTAAAATAAACCTTTGTTTAGAACCACAGTAAAACGAAATTTTCATTGCTCAATGCTGTGTTTAGGCTCTGTCACAAGAAATAACAAAGCACTCTTTAATACTGATTTAAAACTATCTTACAGAAAAGTTGTGGTTACATTCTACATTGTAATTCTGTGTTGAAACTGGAGATTAGACTAATCAATTTTAACTCCCGTCTCCGTCACTTTAAGAACATTTTATTTGTATGTAAACTTCTTTATTTTGCTTTGTGGTTCATTGAATATTGTTTTATTTTCCATAATTAAAAAAATTTAGATTAAAGAATAAGTTTAAATAAATAGCTTTGTATTTCCAATGTTCATCTAGTCTCAAATTATTTTTTTCTGAAATTATAAAACCCAGATGGTGCAGCATTTATAAAACCGAAAATGGTGTTTCTCCAAAAATCTGCTGTGTTCTGCCTTGTCGTTTTCATATGGCAGGGTCCGACTTGAAATCAGAATTTAATGAATTATATCCAGAAAAAATATTTAGATTACAATGTTTATTCATAAGCCTTTACTTACTTTCTTACAATCTCCCTTCCTCCTTCCCTCCCTCCGACTGATTGACAGACAGAGACAAACCCACACACATTTGTGAAGCAGCACTATATTCTTGAAATAAAATTTTAAAAAATCGATAGGGTTATTGAATTGTGGCGCTAAGCTTTTTCAAACTTCAGTCCTAAAAAGCTTTTATGAAATCTGTTTTGATATACTATGAAAGCTTTAGTAATAATCAAGATATCTTTATTTCACGCATATCGATGCATGTATGCATGCATCCCTCCCTTTCTTGTTAAAATATTTGGGGCATATTTTAAATCTAGAAGATAAATATACAAGTTCACTTACCTAGTAAATGAATATTAATTTCAGCAATGCTGTTACTATTTAATCTGGGCAGATAACTGGCTAATGTGTTTCCATTATATACTGTATGAACTCTGTATAGGGCAATACTTTTTATTGCTTTTGTAGTTAGCATGTATCTACATTTATACATGTAAAGTAACAGGAAATCCAGCTTGCTGTAATTAAGTTTCCTTGAAATTTTCTGTGTCTGGTTAAAGTACTTGTGTTTAGATTGACTGTGTGATACTAGGCATCTGCTCCCTTACCTAACTAAAATGAACAAACACCTTCATTTCAAAGGTGTTCTCACTTTTTAATTTTTCATTCATTAGTTTGTTTGCCTATTCGTTGCTTAAACATTGTGCCCTGTTCTCTTTACAGACTGTCTCGTCTGTGTCTAACTTTATTATCAGCAATGGTGTCACAGGGACCAGATGCTGCCAGAGATGTCTATAGCCACTTTGATTTCAATAATAAATTCTTACCTAATTTAGTGAAGAAGAGAGACTATAAGGTAAGAAAGCAAAATGTCAGCCACGAGGATTAACTGATGACTTACGCTTTTTTTTTCATTTTATTTTCAAAATAAAGCTGTGGTAGAAAGTAAAGCTCTTTTTTATGAGACAAATACTATTTGTTTCTTTAAAAAAATCATAGTCACCCATGTGCAACTCATATAAAAGGAACTTGTCAACCTCTACATGATTTAGTACATTCATATATCATATGTACAAAATACCCTCCTTGTTCTTTTAAAAAGTTGGCAGCTATGATTTTGAGATAAATAATTTCTTTTTGCAATGCAGGGACCCTAGTTCATATAAAAATCCTTTAAAAAGACAATGAAGCACAGTCATGATGAGATTTTCACAGTAAACCATAGATGTGTAAATTCAGCCTGTACATTCAGATTTTAAGAAAAAGTAACAATAGATTTCTGAAAAATACCATGCTTATCTGGAGAGATCGCATGTTTGAAGTAAATACTGCTAAGAAAAGCTATCACATTTTCTATTCTAGAAAAAAAAGCTTACTTAGATTTTTGATATGTTAGTTTTCTGTATACAGGCAGAATTTTGTTCTAAAACCTTTGGCCATCTTGATTGAAGGTTATGAGTATTGCAGTCTAACATAGGTGAATGGCAAGTAATTAGAGAAGGTTAATTTAATATATGTGACTCTTGCACCCTTGGGAGTTGTGTTATTTGAGTTTTGTGTGAGCATAGTAGTCAAATAAACATAACAGGCAACCAGAATAGTAGAAACGTTTACCTATCTAAACTATTATGGGCTCACTGTCAAGACCATGATTTTAGATGATACAGATCCTCATAAGTACAAAACAAGAAAGTTAAGGTACTGTACTTCATGAAATGTGTGATAGATACACAAATACCGGTACTTTTATCAGTTAATACATTGGTCACTGTATGCTTAAGTCTGCAAATAGATCTTTATATAGGATCCATTTTTAAAGCAGGTAATCTAGTGGCTTTTAGGCTTCTCATATATACTGAATATTTTTAAATATTTTTTTAGGGTAAGCCTGATATCCGTACAGCATACATCCAATATGCCATTTCCTTTTTAATTGCTGGCGACCATTCTATCCTTATGCAGGTTCTGGAGTTGAAAGGTATTTTACAAGTATTCCTAAATTATTTGTTGATGTGGGGAGGATTTCATTTGTTGATGTAATGGATTTCATGATACCTAGACCAAGGTTTTGGCAATCATTGTTTATTTCCATAAGTTCTTGTTTTGTTTTCCCATCAAAACAAAACAATTCTTGAGGCATATAATATAATAATAGAAAAGCTTTGGAAAGCCTCTGTTGCTATTAAAGTAATAAGCTTAGGGTTGAGGGTCAAGCACCGCTGCATGAATAAAAAAGTAGGTTCTTCTAACCAGAGAGCATGCTAGGGGCCAGGAAAGCATCTGCCCAAGAATTATAAATATATCTGTAAGGCACTATAGAATTAGTTCACAATATTAACTTTCTTTTTGCTGTGTTACATGCTCCCTGTTTTTGAGTTTGGTTTATATTGTCAACATATACTGTATTCTAGTATAACTGGCAAAGCTTTGCAAAACTGAATTAATTAAAATGTTTACTGTATTTCAGGCATAATGTTATCCTTTTTAATTTTTTTTAGATTTCATTCCAGATATTTTTAGGACAGGATTAAAAGAAGATAGAATTTCCACAATTAACCTTCTGCTTTCAACTTTGGAAACTAAGGTATACTCTGCAAATAGTTTTGTTCTTTATATGTTCTTTGACTGTTGAAATATCTTCATTGTGGTTTTTCAGACAATCTCTGATTACCATTCTATTTTGCTGTACTTAAGAACTTATCAGCATTTCAGTTGTAGAGCTTTTTGCTTGATCTACTTATGCTTTTAAATAACTTACGTTTCTAAGTAAACAAAAAAATAAAGTTGCAAATGAATGCAACAGTGACATTAAAATTGTTTATGATACTTCTGACAGTTCCTATAGATGTAATAGCATACTTATGACCTGACTTAAGAATTTTGAACTATTGTGTTGATACATTGTGTTATTTGTAGGTGGTTCTCAATAAAGATATTAGTAAGACCCAGAAGGTACACTTTTTTACCTCAGAAATACTGAACCACATTGCTTCACTCTATCGCTGGAATGGAATTACTGATGTCAGCACAGTGGATGTCAAGGTATAATAATCTTCTCTCCATATTTTTCTTACATCTAAATACTGTTTTAAGATGTACAGAAACATGTTGTTACGGGCCACCGCTCAATGCAAAAAATGAAAGGCCATAACCAAGCCCATAGTTTGCCTAGTAAGGTGAAAATAGTTTGCCATTAGGAATAGTAATCTGAGCTATTTTTGAAGAAATGTATCTAGTTTCAATGCTTCAATATGAGCAGCTAGCTTTATACAACCAGGCAAAATCTATACCAGACTGACACAGTATGCCTGTCTTCAGATATGTTGAAATTACCCACCACCCAAAATTGCCCAGTCAGATTGGAGAAGCACAATAAACATTTATTTTGTGCTCTGAAAATACTGAATAAGCAAACGTGGTAAGCTGACTGTTTTTCTTCAATTTATTAACTTTATGCAGGCTTCCCAAGAGTGTGAAGAACCAGGAAAGCTTTTAGTGAGAGAACTGGTTCATAAATTTTTAATGAACCTTTGTTGTTCTCTGAAGCATGGCATTAACTTTTATGATCCAAGTCTTGGCACATCTGGCAGGTAAAGCATTCAATTGTTCAGTCCAGTTACATTTTGCAGTTTTATTTAGGTTAGAGCTAAATTGTTTGAAGTATTTTCTTCAGCGTTGCCTCATCTTTTGTGAATGGTAGAGTGTTGGTTATTCTATCTTATGATAATTTCACAGAGCAAGGAGGGAACAGAGGTCTATTCTAGAAGCACAAACCTCTACTGGTTTTGGCCATATAGTCTTCAGCAATTTGCATCTTTTAAGCATAAAAATCTGTTAAATTCCTGTTAGTTAATTAATCTGCATGCTAAGACGCTGAGCTTGTCAGTCAGAAAGGTCAGTGGTTCGAATCCCTAGTACCGTGTAATCAAGTGAGTTCTTGTTACTTGTCCTAGCTTCTGCCAACCTAGCAGTTCAAAAATACATAAAAATGCAAGTAGAAAAATAGGGACCACTTTGATGGGATGGTAGCAGCATTCCGTGTGCCTTCAGTGTTTAGTCATGCTGGCCACATGATCAGGGAGATGTCTTCGGACAGTGCTGGCTCTTTGGCTTTGTAACAGAGATGAGCATCGCCCCCTAGAGCTGATGCTAGCACGTATATGCGAGGGGAAACTTTACTTTTACCATTAGCATAAATAACTGAAGGTTTTATGCTGTACTAGTAAGCGATTTTAGAACGGGTAAATCTCAGGCTAACAAAATTATGTTGTAAATATATTCTTTTTTCATTCCAGTTCATAATGTTTTGTGAGTGTGTTAGAGGTTTGTTGAATGCCTTTGACAACATAGTTTTAGTCACTTAAGGTTCCTACTGGTTTGGCATGATTGATCACCTGCTATTTTATGTAGCTAACATGCTGAAATACAGTAAAGTCACAGTCATTTTTATACACTGCAGGTTAATTTTTTTATTTCTTGTTAGGCAAAAAAATTGAAAAGCAGTACTGTACATGAAATGGGTGAATCTGACTTCAAAAGGAAACAAAAATAAAATATTTCATTGAATAAGTTCAGCCCCCTCCCCTCACATGTATGTTTTATAACAGGAGTCCCCAAACCCTGGGCCATGAGCTATTCGGAACTGGACCGTGGATCTGGCATGCGAGAGCACATGCATCCCCATTTGCATGAGCAGTGGCCAAGTGTGTGTGTGTGTGTGTGTGTGTGTGTGTGCCAGTCACTCGTGCAGAACCATCCTCTCTCTGCCCCCACCTCACCAGTCCCCCAAGCTGGAAAGTTTGGAGAACTCTGTTTTATAATGTTCTCCACCCTGCCATCCTCCGAAATAGATGAGAAAAGCTAAGTTACCATAACTTCTGCCCACTGACAGCACCTGCAGCATAGATTCTGATCACTGATTGTTAATTATGTATTACTATATTCTGTCAAAGTAATGCTTTTTTCAAACTATTATTTTGTTAGAGGAGGTAATTTGGTTCTGCTGCGCTTTCTTCTGAGTCTAAAGACTGCTGTAGAAGATGAGTTGGTTGCCACTCTTATGGTGAACATTTTCAAAGTATGCCCAGATTTACTGAACAGATACTTTAAGGAATCCCACTATTCTTTTGTTCCGAGACTAAAATCTGCATGGCTAGACAACATGAAATTGCTGAGAAAGGTAAGAACTACTTGAAAAGTATGTATTTAGTACGTGAAAATGACCCGTATCAACATTTTTCTTGTTATAATGACAGTTATTGAAGTGTCTATGTGAACATGACTATATTTGCCCTGTTATATTTGATGGTAAGTCAGAAAGAAATTCATTTTAATTAACGGGTTGTGGAAAAATGGATATATGGCAAAGTATTAAGACTTTGGAGCTCTCTTGTGCTTTTCTCAAGACTTTTTACAATATGATGAGATAGCTTGAGTTGGGCTGAGAGAGTGACTAGCCCACAATCACCCAGCCAGCTTTCATGGCCAAGGTGGGACTAGAATTCCAGCATCCTGGTTTCTAAGCAAGCACCTTAACCACTAGACCAAACTGACTCTCTATCCTGCATATATTACATCAAATATTTGAGGGCAAAGTAATTCAGAAGTTTATTATTTAGATACAGTATAATTTATTATGACAAAATCTCAACCAGTAAAAAATCTCCTTTTCTCCCCCCCCTTACTAAATAATATACACTGTTTTTAATCTGATCTGCAGATTTTATATGATTGCAGGTCTCACAGGTGACAATGATATTTTAAAAATTACTGTATTGTTTATGTGGACAGGATCAGAAAGAAAGGCTTACATTGAAACAAATGTAACTTAATTTGAGTAAGTTCAAATCAGATTTGAATTACTCAGTCTAACATCATGGGGGTTGTTGTGGGAAAATAGATGGATGAAGGAGTATTATATATGTTCTCTACCTGGAGTTACTTATAAAAGTAATAAAGGCAGGATAAAAATATAATAAATAAATAATGCAGAAGTGGATTGTAAGCTTGTTTAAGTTTCAAATATGCAACTTTATATTGTAATCAAATTGCAAATATAAAAGATCTGTATTTCCTAATTCTTTGGGATTATTTATTGTCTAGTTATATAAATTTCTGCCTGGAAAAAATTATTAGTGATACAGTGAGGTTTCTCCTCTCCTACGTAGTAAATCACAATACATCTATAAGATTGCAAACTTACTCATTTAGCTTTTATTTATTTTGAAAGGGAAAGAAGAGGGGCCTCAAACTCAGTGCCATTCATACCTCTGATCAAATCATCATAGTCGTATCCAGTAATCATGTATTCAACCTATTAAAATATCAGTTAGGCTTGGAAGTGCCAATGCAATTGGTACAGTATAGGCTTAATACGATCTAATAAATGAGCCCTCTCAAATTTGGTACATCATCTGCTGAGTTTTACAAACTAATTTAAAAGTAATTCCTTGTACAGTCTATTATAATAATCCCACCTATCTGCCAATAATGCACAAATAAACCACGCTATGCCAACATTTGCATAATTTCTTTCTGTGGTGTTTTTAAACTTTAATTGTTGAAGGAAGTAGAGATCATTGCTGTTGTTATCTGTCACAATCCTCCTCATCTTGCAGATGACTGCTGAAACTTACCAATGGAGGAATGATTTCCTTATGATATTTTCTCATGGGATTTAATCGAAGTATGGGAAACGGGATACAAGCTAGAGAGATGACATTTATAGCAAAAGACAAAACCCCTTTTGGCAGCCTGTTAATTTAATTACAAAAATGCTACCCTTAATCCATGAAAATGTCATGCAGATTCTCTTCTCTTCATGTTCCTGAATATGTTTCAAAAGCACACGTTTTTTATCAAACTGAATGAGAACTAAAAACACAATCCTATAGAGAAGTTTGCATTGAAATTCATGTATTTCAGAAGTTTGAAATGAAAAGAGCCAGAACAATAAACAGGAAGTGGGATTGTACTATGTGGGCAGCTAAATGTATTCTTGTGTGTTTTCAGTGCTTAATTGCTGTAATCTGCTCGCACTCCTTTAGGAGTGCACTATTAACTCAGGAGAGGTGATTAAATATAGTAGTGGCCAATGTATGATTATCTTTCCCTGTGTTTATTGAATTCTTATATCATTGTACCAGATCCACTCTATAGGTTGAATTACTGGCACGCCTTTGAACTAAAGATTAGTTTAGTAGTGTGTTATTTGGTGCTATGTATCACTAGTTATTTGTGGAAAATCTAGTCAGACTGAAAGGTTAGATCAGCCTTTCCTTGTGTATCCTACCGGCTTGGTGAATATTGGTTGCTATAATTTTATGTGAGTGTGGTTTGTGGGGGATACATATAGGAAAGTGTAATAAAAGATGATGGAGAATGTTTGGGAATGATCATTAACAGATGCCTCTCTTACTTCAAAAGGTGACAGGATTTAAGTAAAATCTTGAAAATCAAGTGAGAGTAGAGTTAATAGAAAATGATTCGTATCTCTAATCCCTCTCCCCTTCTCCCTCCCTCCAATTTATGTTTAGTATGCCTAAAAAGCATTGAGGGGTTCTAGGTTTTTGTTATTTTTATCTTGTCTTCTATGCTGCCAGTCACTGCTGATCATCTGGAAATGCAGAGAATATATATGCAGTATATTGAGAGATTTTCTATCAAATGTCAAATTTGTATGGCCCAGACAGAAGTGCCTTATGACAAAAATCACTAGAACGCCACAGTAAAAGCCATAAAGGTTGACTCAGCCTTCCATCCTTTCAAAGTCAGTAAAAGGAGGACCCTTGTTTCTGGGGCAATATGCTGACATTGTAAACCACTTAGAGAGGGTTGTAAAGTGCTATGGGGCAGTATATAAGCATAAATGCTGTTGCTATTGCTATAAATTTCCAACATACCAAGGAGCAAAATCAGCAATATACAGTGGCAAGACAACCCATGTACGTTATACGATGCTGAGGCCTATTTTTGCTGATGATTACTTTTGTTCTGGCATGTAGACCTAGGTTGGTTTTTAGTGCAAGGAAATTATAGCATTTGAATATTGTTTTTTCAGCAAGATCTGCAAACATGGGATTCAAATGCTATACTTGAAGTAGTGTGCTTCCCTAATTAGCTTAAAACTAGTAAGTGTTTTCCTGTTTCAATAATGACCTCTCCTGCCAGTATTTTCAGTTCTATATTTTTTTCTTTTCATGTGCAATTGGGCATTAGACAATCATGAATCCGGCTGAATTGGCTACAGCCACTATTGCATCACTTGGGTGTGTGTGTGTGTGTGTGTATGTTTTCTGAGGTTTTCTGAAATATATATATATATATATATTTATTTGTAAATATGTGTTTTGTGTTTGTAATTTCAGATCTATGAGGCTCAGCCAGACATTTCGAATGCTTTTAAAACCACTGAATTTATTCCACTTCCTAAATTGCTTTCTATGGTGAAAGTGACTACAGTGCCTGCAGTGTGCAATAAAGCCATGTTTACCCAAGGTTTAAATGTAAGAACTTAGTCCATACTATGATGATGATGATGTTTTCCATTCAGTTGTGTCCAACTCTTGGCGATTCTATGGGCCAAGTGTCTCCATATCTTCTGATATTGTGCTATTTTGAGTTGTTCTATGCACTGGCTGGTGTCAGCTTTGATTGTGCCACACTCTTAGGTGTGATCCTTCTCTTCTCTCTCCTACTTTCCCTGTCCTACTGTACTAACAGTATATTTCGAAAAAGAAAAGAAAAAAAATGCATCATGAAAACCAATCCATGCAGTTCTCAGGCTGATACTCTTCCCCCTTTCTCCTTCAGGGTGGTCAGAAAAGGCATATGGAGATTTTTGTCTTAATAGAGTTAAGTCTGCCCAGCAATTAATCTTAACTATGGCTTATTAAAATAAAACACTGTTAAAATGTAGCACATTGTTTGTTTTATTAATTTGCAAATAAAAATAACTTCAGTGTTAGAGTGCAATGGTAGTAGTAAGAATAAAAGTCAGAGCTTCCAATTTGCTCTGAATGGCACTAATAAAGAACTTTACTTTTGAACATATAGTAGTAGGAAATCATTGTTAACATTATTAGTTAGCATTGTTATCCTACCTGGGTAAGGTCTACTCTATATTTTGAACATTATTTGGAAAAAAATATTTTCAAGTACAAACATGGCACTTCTTTAGAGCAGCTGTATATATTTGCAAGTTTGTAAATGAGTCTGAAAAGATACCATTGTTTTAATAAGTTGAACTCATTAAAGCATTACATCATTTTGCATTCTTCCATGCTTCTGAATAATGTTTGCTATATTACTGACAAGCAATAAGTGCTGTTTATAATAAGGGCATCCTGATTCATATAGATCTTTGGGCAGCTTGAGACCACATTGTTTGCCTAATCCACGTGCAATATAACGTAGAAACGTGCGATATCTGAAATTCTTGAAACAAGGTAGAAACAGACATGGTTTTTTAAAATAAATTTATTGTCAGAGAACTGTTACATTTAACAGGTAAATCATTTCAATTTCTGTTTGTAACTGAGAAGATAGACAGGCAAGTTTATTAACTAAATATGCACTCTCTCTCCAGCTTTGTTGTTTTGTAAACTTTTATTATAAATTTATTATATATAAATTTATTTTCATTTTTACAAACACTACAACAGAACTTTTTAAACCTGATTTATTGAATAAGCCAACTGATCTGGTTCAAATATTCCAGTAAAACCATAAATAAATCACATTATGGCATAGCACAGTGTACAAATCTAGCCAATAGCTCCAGTTCCTTGCTTTGCATCTTCTGTTAATTTTAAATAGCAATTCATTGCAACATTTCATTAGATCACATTGGCCATGGATGATGGGACTGACAGTCCAACATGTTCAAGGCATACTATTTTGCAGAGAACGATAATAACTGATTTCCCTAAAAGAGGCAGTATGTCAAAAAAGACTGAGTGTGCTACTTTTAATCTTTTTATCTAAAGAGACATTTTAGGTTTATATCTCTCTTTTGCATTTGAATTCATTTGATGCATCCTTTTTTTCTCTTTCCTCTTGTCTATATTTAGGGTTGACTTGTTTCCCTTCATGTCAGTAGATTGTTACCAGTTAACCTTAGAGAACATTGTTAAATTGTGCAAGATAGTAATTGTTTCCATGTTTTAATTTTAGATAGCCAGTAAAACAGTGAAGCATACTATATTTTCATTGATAACAACTATTCTGAAAAGAGCACTGAAAAATATTGAGTATTGTCAGAATGAGAAGATATGGGAGAAGTCAGAAATCTATACTCCACTAATCATGAAGGAATTTGTTCAGCAGTACCGGGAAGCACTTAGTAAGGTACAGTCTTAAAAAGAGAAATTAAAACAGGCTTGACTTGCAGGTTAATGAACAAGAAATGCTTCTGTCTTGATTCTTTCTCCTTTTTTCTGGCAGCTGTGGACAAAAATATCATTAGATGCTTTTTTCAGTATATTCGCCTATTTAATACTATTGATTTGGAAGAAGCTGTAAACATTCTTTTGTTTTAACAATATTTAAAAACTTTTCACAAATTTAATTCCATGTTTATATTAGTACCAAATCTAAAAGTATAATGCTTAGAATAAAGTGAAAAAGGCAAAATAACATTTTCTTAATTATACATCTGAAATATGGGGCAGCAGACATAGCTGTACATCTAATGGAGCTAGTACACATTTACGGTTTCCATTTTTATTATTCCCTCATCCTACCACAGCAACTGCAACACTCTTTGATGATTGTAATACATAAATATGTCTTTGTGTCCCAAATCTATCATACACATGTATGATAATTGTCACACATGAATCCATTATACTCCCTGGCTACAAACACCCATGCTTTAGGTTGTTTGGGAGTTACAGTAAAATGAATGTAAGAGCAAACAAGTAGGATATTAAATGGGAAATCAAATTTGAATAGGGGAAAAATAACAGATTAAAGGAACGCAGGAAAAATATGATCTTGTTAATATATTCAAAACAGGTAATAACTTGCAATTTTTTGCATAAATTGTCAGATTAGGTAATCATACCTTCTTGGCCCTTATTCTTAACACTGGTACACCACAGGGTTATGTGTTCCTTACTCTATACTCTTTATGTGCATGACTGCATTCCCACTCATGCTAGTAATACTATTATTAAATTTGCTGATGATACAACAGTGGTGGGACTGTTGTCTGCCTATCGAGATGAGTGGACTGATTTTTTTTGTGGTATGGAGACAATAACTTGGTCCTTAACACTAATAAGACCAAGGAGCTTATAGTGGACTACAGAAGGAATAGATCATACATCCAGACCTTGGTTATCAATGGAGACCAAGTGGAGCAAGTGGCCAGTTTTAAGTTTTTGGGTGTTATCATAAAAGAGGATCTGACATGGGGCCAGGGGTGGGATGCTACCGATTCGGCTCGGTTCTATAGAACCTGTAGCTGCAAAGAGCAGCTGACACCAAACCAGTTCGGTGTTTGGCCCACCTGCCTGCCCGGGCTCTAGGCTGTCCTTTATTCCCTGCTTTTCCCTCCTCAGCTGCTTTGCGTGGCACAACTGAGGTTGAAAAAGTAGGAAACAAGAGGATTTTTAAATGCTGTGCACCCGAGCACATCACTTTTCAGCTGTCCAGGCGGCATAGCTGATGATTTCTTGCAAATGCTACACACACGATTGTCCACAGTTCGGAGAGCCGGCAAATCACTCCACTGGCTGGCCCCCCCCCCCCCCCCCCCCCCCCCCTCCCCCGCCCCCCAGCCAGCCCCCCCCCATCTTCCCCTTTTTGAAAATTCTTTTTTTTCCCCCCCCCCCCCCCGACTCTCAGCTGTTCTGCTCTGCCAGGAGATTTAGATTAGCTAGAAAGCAGGAAATCCTTGGATTTCTTGCTTTCTAGCTAATCTAAAAGCAGAGCCGAACCTTCCTTAGGACTGAAGCTTTTCAGTGCAGACTCAGGTAGCTGACTAGAGATAGATAGATCTCTAAATTAATCTCTGATTCTGTGAGCAACTCAATCTGCTTGCCTGCTTTGTCTGCTTTTGGGTAAAAGTTGCTCTTTTTTAATAAAAAAAAATTCAATATTTACATACATGGTGTGTTGTGAGTTAATTTTGTGAGTTTGCTTGCTAGAAAATTCTTTGAGTTTGCTTGCAAGCAAATTTTATGTGACAGACTCAGGTAGCTGATTGCAGATAGATTGATCTCTAAGTGAATCTGTGATTCTGTGACCAATTCAATCTGCCTGCCTGCTTTGTCTGTTTTTGGGTAAAAGTTGCTCTTTTTTATTAAAAAAATCAATATTTACATAAATATTTATAATATTTACATACCAGCCACGGCCACCCAGTCACATGACCACCATGCCCAATCAGCAAGCCACGCCCACCCAGTCACATGATCACCAAGCCATACATACAAATTAGGCCATACCCGTAGACCTGGTTGTTAAGAAATTTGAATCCCACCCCTGGCTGGGGCACTCACATTGCAGCACTGGTCAAAAGGGCCCAGCAGAGATTATGCTACTTGAGACTTCTCAGGACAAAACTGAATGAAAAATTGCTGGTGACCTTCTACTGCTGTACTATAGAGAGTATTTTAACTTACTGTACCTGTGTATGTTTTGCCAACTGCACAGTGGCAGATAGGACAGCGCTCCAGAGGGTTGACATCATTGCCCAGAGGATCACTGATTGCCCTCTCCCCTCCTTGGAAGAGCTTTATAATTCACGCTGCCTTATGAAAGTTTAACACATTCCTAAAGATCCATCTCATCCTGGGTACCCTTTTTTTGAACTATTACCATCTGGCAGACAGTACAGGACAATAACAGATAAAAGATAATCAGAGTTGGAAGGGGCCTTGTAGGTCATCTAGTCCAACTCCCCCCCCCGCCCAAGTGGGAGACCCTACACAATTTCTGACAAATGGCAGTCCAATCTCTTCTTGAAGGTCTCAAGTGATGGCTCCCCCACAACTTCCGAGGGCATGCTGTTCCATTGGTTGATTGTTCTCACTAAATAAAAATAGGCTGAAAAACAGCTTCTATCCCAGAGCAGTAACTATATTGAATTCTATTGTTTAGTTTCATGCCATGCAGTATCGGGTTTGTTTGTTTTTGTTTTATGTTTATAGTTAACAAATAGCAGATAATCAGAGTTGGAAAGGACCTTGTAGGTCATCTAGTCCAACCCCCTGCCCAAGCGGGAAACCCTACACCATTTCTAACAAATGGCAGTCCAATCTCTTCTCAAGTGATGGCACTCCCACAACTTCCGAGGACAAGCTGTTCCATTGGTTGATTGTTCTCACTGTCAGAAAGTTTCTCCTTATTTCCTGATTAAATCTCTCCTTGTTCAGTTTCCATCCATTATTCCTAGTCTGGCCTACAGGCGCTTTAGAAAATAGCTTGACTCCTTCCTCCCTGTGGCAGCCCCTCAAAAAGTTTCATATGTGTGATGTACACTGAAGATGGCATTTAATTTCATTGTGTGAGGTGCAATGACAATAAACTAAACTAAATTAAAATGCAGATTTCTGATTTTTCTCCTGCAGTTCTGCTTTGTACAATATAATATAATAATTTTTTTAAAAACCTAGCTTTTACCAGATATGACAAACATAATTGCTGTCTGGCAGTCCTTTCTAAAGCCAGATAAGGCTCAGGAAGGACAGGAAAAAAAAGGAACAGAAACTGCTTCTTGTATGGAGGAAACAAATGAAACAAACAAAGACCATGGTAAGGAATCTTTGGTCATTTTATGTACTTACAGATTTGTTCTTTTAACCCAATGTCTGAAAATATCGGATAATTCATGATGGCCCTGAGCTGATCTTTGAGAAGCTCTATTTAATGTAAAAGTTATATTTTAATGGTACGTGATAAAATTATTAGATATCCTTTCTGAAACCCTTGTTTTATAGACTGTTAACAACCGAGTCCTGTGCAAAATTCTGAATGAAGAGATTCTTGCAGCAAAGCAACTAAGGAAGTTTTCTATAGAAGGCAAGCAGAAAGCAACTTAATGTCCTACTTTACACTTCACACTAATTCCTGGATAGTGTAAAGCACTATTGAATTATTGTTTTTTGGATTCATAGAATTGGCTATTTAATAAACCATGGTTTATACCCTACAGGGGTGATGTTGACGAACCATGCAAAGTCACTAACTAGCAAACCGTATTATTTAGTACAATGCTAGTATCACTTGTCTATTAAGAAATATCTTCCTTAAGAATTCTTCATTTTGCATATTCTGACTTGGCAGAGAAACAGTCCTGCTAATGTCTCTTTCCTTCTCATTTAGACATAAAAGTCTTATGCGTCAATACTTTGTAATTTCTTTTTTTCCCCACCAAACAGTGCCATAACAATGCTGGCAGTGATTACTGACCCAGACAAGGGAGTATAATTCATTAAAAGCACCAAAAGAACCAGGATTAAACCGTTAGAACTAACATTTTTATCCCCTAGATATGCTGTCAGTTGATTCTTTTTTAAATTACTTATGTTGGTGGCTGGTATTTTTCAGGATTGTATTAATGTAGAGGGAAAAAATCACTGATATAAAATAGGATTTTATTTTATGGCATTTTTTGTGGGGTTTTTTTTGTAATATCTGTCAATCTGTGCTTTTTCTAGGCTTCGATGATGTAGAAATCACTCTTCTGAAAGCTGTTATACTTCAAGTTATATGCCTTTATCAACAAGTTGTTCCTCACTTAGTAGCACAGAGCAACTTCGATTTTAGCAAATTAATAAAAGGTAATGTTAAGCATACTCTGGCTAAATGGGAATACATTGAAAATAATATTTATAAAAGAGGTCTTCTCTAGCACTTTAGCTAGCAACCAGCAAGTTAAGTATACTTATACCACTGCATGAGATGGACTGTGATAGGTAGGGAGGTCAGTCTGTGGGGTCTTTGGTGCTCTTTGAGCTTAGTGGCTTTCTTGCAGATATTTCCTTACCAAACTACTGTAGATAACATCATCAGTGCTAGAAGGGATTTGGGTTTGCTCTTATTAGTGACTTGCCCTGTCAGTTTTAATGGGATTGTTCTTAGTGGTTCTTTGATTAGTCTTGTTGTTCATGGTTAGCTTGTCTGAATTGGTAGTCCCTTGATTGGGGTATTGTTTACTTCTTGATTTTTGCTCTGAGGTTAATTTTGGTGCTACTCTTTGTTCATGTGGATGTTGGTTTCAGGTGGGAAGATGTATTGGGGGGGTTGTTTCCTTTTGACTTTTTGATTGTCTCTTTTGCACAATATGTAGGCATAGTTTATTTCTATATGGCTGTTGATGGCTGATTTGTTTGAATACCAGCAATTCTAGCAATTCTCTGTTGTTGTTTTTAACTTGGCTTGATTTAGGATGCTTTCCCAGTTGAAACTATGGTTAAGTTCTGTCCCTGTGTTGTGAAATTAAGGAGTTTTCACCATGCCTTCTGACTGCTCCTTGGTGTTCATGGATGTGCTCTGTTAGTTTTCTGTCTGCTTGTCCTACATAGTGGTTGTTATAGTCCTTACACTGTTGTAGGTGACTCCTTTTTTTTTTCCTTCTCGGGCTGCTGGGATCAGGGTGAACTTGCAAGATTTACAGCTTCTTTGCAACTGCTTTGCAACTTCAGGAACCACAGTCACAGTTGAAAGATGCATATGAGTATTGAAAAAGTTGATTGAACTCTTGGGTTTGGTGTTCTAAAATTTTAGAATCGTCTCCCCAGGAAATCTTAAATTTAGTGATTTCAATTCCAGATGAAGCCCTTTTCATTTTCCCAAACTTTTAAAATTCATGTTAACATCAGTATTGTGATGGACAGGACGTGAATCCCTTTAGATATGTTTTGAGGCGTAGCACTGAGATGCTATTAATTGAATTGGGAATGCAAAGCTGGGATGGGAGAGGTATAACTATTCTGACTCTCCTTGATGACTTGGTGGCTTTTAATGTAATTGATTGTAGTATCTTCAGGACTGAGTACAGGAATTGGAAGTGGGAGACACGGAATTATGGTGCTTCTCCTTTTTTCCTCAGCCAGTTTCAATTGGAAAGAGAAAGAAAGAGAAAGAGAAGGAAGAGAAAAAGTAAAATTCAAACCCCTACTTTATGGGTGCCTAAGCAGGGGTGGGATTCTACCAGTTTGCACCTATTCGGTAGAACCAGTTGTTAACATTCTAAGCAGTTCAGAGAACCGATTGTTAGAAGAAATTACTGGTCTAATCCTGTAAGGAAGGCAGGAAGGAAACATTCTGGTGTTGCTTACAGAAACTGCTTCTCCGTTAACCCTTATTACATTCTTGGCAGGACTAGACTTCCTGTCTCAGGAATGTCTCTGGAGTTTTTTTTTCCTTCTTTGCTGTTACTTTGCTTGTGTGGAGTGACCATTCAAAGTTACAATGGCACTGAAAAAAGCGACTTATGACCATTTTTCACACTTACAACTGTTGCAGCATCCCCACAGTCATGAGAGGCCAGGTGAGGAGATGTGTGCCTCTATGTGAGTGATATTGAGTTGGCTACACCCAGCCAATAACATGACCACCAAGCCATGCCCACAGAACCGGTTGTTTAAAAAATTGAATCCCACCCCTGTAGCCTAAGGGCTTTATGGTTGTCCCTCTCCAGGTGAACCTGCTGGGTGAAAATCTTTTGAGGTTCAGTTACGATGATAGGTCTTGTTCCAGCACCTGAGATGAGAAACAGGCTCAAACTCAACTGTAATAAGAGTGAGAAACTGGGTTCTTGGAACACCATCTCCACAGTGGCTTTAAACAGTTTTGAAAACCTGGCTGTTGTTGCAGGTCTTCAATTAGGGTGGTTGTCAAGGTCCTTTAGGCTGGGTTTAATATGGAAGAGAAAGTTTTTATTGTTTGTCTGGGCTGCTGATGTCTTTTTTGATGTGTTTGTATTGTCTTCTCAGTAATGTCTTTTTTTTATACTCTCCCTGTTTAAATGCATAAGTCACCCACAATTGTTTTGGAGTCAGGCAGTTCTAGAAGTTGATTAGTTTATTGAATTGAATACTTTAACTGGCCATGTGTAATTGGATGAAGGAATTTGTCTCCAGTGCAGAAGCTCTCAGGATGGATGGATAGATAGATAGATAGATAGATAGATAGATAGATAGATAGATAGAT